TTTGTATTATGAAGACCAAATCTGTGGATGACTGCAGTATGCGTTCCCTTTTATTTGAACTAATCTGAAGTTCAAGGACTTTCAGATAGATGGCTCACCTTTGGCCTATGTATTCTCACATGAAAGCCACTTCAGCAAAACTCAGGAGTCCAATTCAGCTTTGCTGTAACTGGTCATGACTCTCTTGACTTCAGCAATGCTTCATATGCTTACACCAGGTCTGAATTTATCCCTATGGCTTCTCGGTCACTAGTCCTCCCGTCCAACTCAGAAACTGCCTACATAATAAAAGTGATTCATTAGAAACTACTGGGTTCCAAAGTAGAGTGAACACTGAGACCTATAACTTTTTGATATGTGGTCAGTCATAAAAATGAATTTATATGGTCTTATTCCATAAACGCACTTTACAAATATTAGACCTGCAACCATACTTCCGTGAGCTGTAATCTTGTCAAAGCTCATAAGTTAAGCAAGGTCAGAGTTGGTCAATATTTGGATGAGAATCTCCAGCGGGGAGAGGGTGGGGGGTAGAAAATTATATATTCTGGAGGTCCTGCAGTGTTTGTAAGTTAGGGCATACCATGCTTCTCTTTAAAAGGATTTGGTATTAGTCTTGGAATACAACAAAATGTTGTATTTGCTTTTGTGATACTTTAGAATCTGGCCACAACTGTGCTGCATCTTGGCTGTTTCAGATAACATCCTTTCCCAGAGATGAAGGCTATGTAGCAGATTAATTCCTCTCACCCACCATCACCCGTCAACCCAGGAGGCAGACCTACCAACAAATGCCTCCGCTGCTACCCGTCACCTTCTCCCTGAAGGGGTTTGTTGCTACTTCTACTATATCTGCATTCTCTATGCTTTATCTAGCAAAATATACCTAAGAAATACATCTCTATAACCAAGAAAAAGCACTCTCACCGTCTTATCTTCTCCCATAAACAACTTCCACTAATGCTCTCCCCTTTTGAGCTCTTCCTTCAGGCAGCCCTGCCCCCCTGCTCCCAGGTGCGTACAATGTATTGCAGAAATGCCTTTAACCTTTTCTCGTACTGGAGGAGCTTATATGCAAGAGGAATGATACCTTGTGAAAGTATGCTGTGGGCAGAGCAATACATAGTCACAAAAGACACCTAAATAATTGAAGGTGGTAAGAAAAAGTCAGTGCTATACGGTAACTTTCTGAGAAACAGCTTAGTCACGCATCTGAGGTAATATATGGCTGCAGAAGGGAACTGCAAACCTATCTGGCTTTTCCTAACACGGGAGCATGCAGAAAGAGGATAAAATGGGAAAGGTCAGCAATCCCGTACCTGTTGCTGTGTAGCAAGGCAGCTGCATTGCAGTGGAAGGACTGGACTGCAAGTGGGCATGGAGATCCCAGACGTGGAGAGGGGAACTCCCCCAGGCAGGGGTTCCCTCTCCCCCGGCACGGCTGGCTCACAGCCTGCCTGCCGCGCCAAGCAGGGACGAGGAAAAAGGGTGTTTCTGGGGCTATGAGTTTATGGGGTGGTATCCCACGTCAGGCAGCTGTTGAAGACCAAGCCTCTTCCTACTAAAGCAAATAATAAATTGGGCGTTAAGAAGCTGGATACCAAATTAGACAGATCGCTAGCAAAGCTGTTGGTGAGAAGCATGCATCAAAAACAGTGGCATGGAGGAGCAGTACATCAAGGGCTTCTCATGCAATAAAATGGAAAGTAAAAAGTGCAGCTAGGAGGTAGAAAACCCTGACTAGACTACAGCCAAATAAATTTAAATAGATCTGGGAATAAATTGGTGGTTTAATCCGGATCAGGAACAGGTGCTATGAATGTAATTCAGTAAATGGTCGAGAGCCTGCCAGAAGGGAGAGAAATGTGTTGCTTTTGAGATAATTTCCCAGAAGCTTCATAAAAGAAAATTGATTACTGGAGTTTAATAATTAAAACAGGGCCAGATATATAGTAATCAAATGAGGTTTTAATTACATCTCAAGCAGAAATAAAATCCAATTTGTGTACTGTGTATCAGAAAAGTCCTACTGAAATGCTTTGATAGCTGGAAAAAACCTAAAATAAAAGCTAATTTCCATAGAAATTATAGTAGTTGGTTTAATTAAAAGGCTACATCAGAACGAAACAGTCCCAAAGTGAAAGGTTACTAAATACAGAAGCAGTGGTTTAAAGATCAAATCAATGTCTGAATAAAGATATTTTATAGACCAAGTGCAAAATCTGCACTGTCAAGTATCCCTAATCTAAATTAATGTGCAACAAAATAAAGTTTCTTAAAATTACACTATATATTTTGTAAGTATTCTATAGAATTAATTGCTTTTGCTATGGTAAAAATGACTATCAAAGACATGGTTTATTCTTTCTTAAATACTCCTTTTAAATTATTTCATCAAAGCTAATGTTATTAGTTAACCATTCTTGTTATTTTCCCGGTAACCTCTGTTGCACCTGGGTTATTAGACTCTGTAATATGCACTGAGGTACATATTTCTAAGAAATACATGTATTTACTTTTGGATTTAAAATGTGTTGACAGCTCATAAGATACAGCGATTACTGTAGAACTGTGTGGGTGCTTCTTGAATCGATTCCCAGTCTACTTGGGCTTCTGGTCTCTGCTGTAGTTGATGTAAAGCTAATTGATCTAAGCAGCTCAAGCACTCACAATCCTCCTGGCACTGTACAGGAGAGGGCTGGCTCCTACCCGAAGAGCGTGGCATATGTGTAGGCCTGGAGGGACAGGCACAGCAGTAGGTCTTGCCCAGGAACCTCTGCATTTGCTCCCTGGCACTAGGATTGCAAACGTCATGGTCTTGCAGTCAGTCTTGGCAACAAAACACTACAGAAGGGAGACAGACATAGCCAAGAGCTGCACAGTCACACTGAAACAGAGTCCACTGCCCCAATGAGCTCCTTCTCCTCTAAGTTGCCTGTAGCAGGTATAGGTTGCTGGTATATAGCATTTATGACAGGAACAGCCTGTACTGCATTTTGTACTTACAGATCCCGGTGCTGACAGGGTGTGAGTGCAGAATGCCGTCTTTGTGCTTAGAGACGTTTGAAATACGCTCATTTTTAAATACGGATTTAAACACTCACTTATTTTATTTTTTTTATCTAAACATTGGAAAATTGCTTTACGAAAACTTTTTCAAGATTTAAGAAATGCCAGCAAGCTGAACTGCCAGTGGGTGGATACTGGCTTTGCATAGAACGGATCTGATAAGTTGCTGTCAAGATTTGAATATCTAATGCGCTACCTCTAGACACTGAGTTGGCAGTGGTAATGCAGGTGCTAATGACAGCAGCCGTGAGCTTTTCAGGTATTTTCAGGTGTTTATAATGTATTAGTGCCCCTCTGTTTTGGACTCCGCCAAATCAGGTTTGAGGAATATACAATAGCCTGAAATAAAGAGCTAAAAATGGGGAGCTCTGAGGCACAATGATGGGAATGTTACAAATCCACATCCATTCTATCAAATGAATGACCAGTGAGCCATACTATATGTGGCAGAGACTGCAGTAACTCTGCCTCTTACCCCAGGCCCAAGGTTGCAAAATTATATGCCTGGTCTGTGGCATATTCTAAGGAAATAATTTCAAGCAGATTTGCTTCGAGTTCCACACAAATCAGCTTTTTACTCATGGCGTGATTTTTCAGAAGTGCTGAGCATTCATATTTTTTACTGAAGTCAACTGAAATTGCAAGTTTTCAGCACATCTTAAAATCAGGCCATTAACCCTTAATTATCATATAATAGCTCAATTAAAAATCTACCAAGACTTACTTGAGTAGCTAACCAAGCTCCCATGGCTTGCAGACTAGCTAATAAAAAAATCTAGTTCTTTAGCGGTGTCTGGGCTCTGGGGACCATTTAAAGTGGTTGCTGTTAACCTTGCTATTTAAAGCAAATAATGAAAGTTATCAACTGCAAAGGTACCTGCTACCCCTTTCCTTTCTTTTCCTTATAATTTTCTACACTTTCAGAAGAGCAACTTTTGCTGTCTTCTCTGTCATTATTTTTTTTTATCTTGCACCAGCCCTGTATTTCAAATGGCAAATACATAGTTTCCATGCTATCAGAGAAAGCATGATACCCAACTCTCAGCAAAACCTACTTCTTGTAATCAGAAAAGCTGCACAAGAATACTGTCTGTCCTGAAAGGGCAGATTACATGACCGCTGGGAGGTAACTGGTTAACCCTTTCTTCACATCTGAGTGCTGCTGTTAATGAGGTTCTGTCTCTAATGTAGGGACAAAACCAGGTGAAGCCACTTGTGGTCTTTCCACATAAGCATTTGATACTGAAGGGGAAGGTAAAGTAAACTTCTAGCAAAGGTGTGCAAGTATTATATAATATGGGGGTTGATTCAAAGCCAGCTGCAACAAGGTAAAAGATTCTTACTGGCTTCTGTGAGCTTTGAACTGTGTATGTAAAGAAGACGTGATTTCAGTGCAATCTAAAAAGAAAACTTTTTTTTTCTTTATTTTGAGCACACAGAAGCAGATTTTTTGCTATCTTTGGAAAGCACAGTACTGTTGTGATTTACTCATCTATGGGAAGTAAGAATCTAGCACTAGGGAGAATCTGAAGGTTATTTCGGTTTTGTCCAACTGGTCGTCCAGCCAGTGGACCTCCGGCTCATAGATGCCCGCAACCAGCCTCAGGCACTTGGGGGATGCTTACTCAAAAGGCCTGTCTTCAAGGATTACAAGAAAGCTAAAGTAGTTGAGTAGTAACTCTGCCACCTTATGTGCTTTTTCAGACATTTTTGGTGGCTTACTTAAAGCCTCAGGTAAAACAAGTAAGATAAAGAGATCTCAATGGGACCAATAAGCTTTACCTACAGAGGAATTCACAGCTGGGGGTGAAGAGGGTGGGGGCACGGTGCAGATTAAACTCTTTTTACCCTGGACTGTCCATCAAAGGAGTGGAAATATTGCCGATATTTTTTCTCTCATCTTTTTTTTTTTTTTTTTAATCTTCTTCCAGTGTCTAGTGAAGCTGAATGTGAAGCTGAAGCCTATGCTGGACTCCGTGGCCGTAAATAGAGGTAAATGGGAGGAGCTGCACCAAAAAAGACTTCCTTCTCAGGCAGCATCCTCGTCCTCCTTTTCCTCTAGCTTTACCATGTCTCTCAAAGACATAAATTAAGCCTGCAAACATCAGTGTCGCTTTACGATAAGAGCTGTCTGAAAGGTTTTCATAAGCTTTGGCCCACCATTTTTTCAAGGAATGCTTTCAAAGACATGCTTAATTGATTGGATATTATCTTGATGGCAGCATAGTTTGCTTTTACGGGGAGGCTTAGTGGGACTGAAAGGAAGGCCTGCGGTGAGATGGGGCTGGTATCTGGAGCGGCATGGAAGACTTAGCACAAGAAGCATTCATTCAGCTCCACTACATTTCAACTGCTGCTGTAAAAATCTGTAAAGCTGACAACAGACTGAAATATAAGAACTTACAGCTTAATAAAATTAATAATACAGAGCAGAACTGGGATGCAAGCTGATTAATTCATATGCAAGGAGCTGCAGGAAAACAGAATAGTATGTAATTACATTGTTGTTTTGCATCTCTTCAGTACATGTTATGAATCAATTATGCCTGCTTTTGTGATGTTCCTCTCTCACTCTTCCCTCCTCTTTTATGCCTGAATGTTCTGAAAAGCCTGCTTTGTATTCTAAAGAAGTATTTTTTTACAACAAAGCTTCTTAGTGATTGATCAGGGCCTTTAGAATTGCCTACCTTTGCTACATTTAAAAACAAACTTTATTATCTTTAAAAACACCAACCTGTCCCTGCTTCCCCGAGAAATTTGTATTTAACAATGCAGTAAATTTCTCAGCAAGGGGAAGTTTGCATAAAGGTAAAATATTGCATGGTAATTTTAGAGGTTTTTTTTTTCTTTTAAATGCTCTTTTAACACATTCATTTTTTTTTTTAAATTACAGTGTCCCCTAAGGAAAAGATTAATAGGCTTTAATGAAAATAGAATACAAATAAAAAGGAAATCTGTTGCCTTGTGCTTCAGGTTTATATTACATTGAAAAGTTGACCATGGATAAGCCTTTCTAGTATAATTTCCAGTTGAAATTAATATTTTGAAATCACGGAGAGGAAGAATATCATCATACTGGACTGACTACCTCTTACTTCTCTTGCAGTTCTTTCAGTGCAATCTGAGAAGCTATTATTACAGCTAGCACAGCACTAGTCAAGGCTCGCATGTAGACGTCTGTGGTAGAGGTGTTCATATAAATCTAATCAAACATGATAGGTTACAAAACCAAACGTGTTTAGTTCCGTGTGATGATGCTAGTATTGGCTGGGAGTTGGTGTCTTTCCATTAGTGCAAAGATCACTAGTGTGGCAAAACTGTGATCTATGATTTGAGGGTGCTTTTTCTGCTGCATGACTGGACAGAGGAGGAGTCACGTTGCAGTTCATTCATAGGGAAAAGAAAGCCTTTGTACTCCATGAAAAATGGAATTCTAAATACAGGGTTGTCTGGCAGCAGAAACTAAAGCTGAGTTCAGCTTAGTTTTACACCTGTGCCAAACTCCATTTACTTCAGAGGAATTACCTTGAACTGGCACCAGCTTAATGGAAATCAGAACCTGGCCTGGCTGACCAGATGCTGAAAAGAGCTTTCCTCCTTTCTAAGGAAAGTGAGTCGTTTGCGCCCTTAAAAAGCTAACTACATCTGTCTGACAATCAAACAGAAACAACAGATCTGCCGATCACTTCTTTAAAAAACAAACAAACAAAACCACAACAAAACAAAAACCCTCTGTGCCCCTAATCATGCGTATAGGAAAATCGCTGGAAATTTCAGTACCGTTGCAAGCCAATCTGTTAGTATGCAACCCAGCCACATCCCTTTCTCTAGCAGAAGGAAGCAGGGAAGGAGCAGAAATGCAGACCGCACAGCAGTGAATACACGCACCAAATGGAAATGTTTCTGCTATTATTTTACCACTTCTTTCTTCCCTGAATACAGACAGACGCAGGATAGTAAGCAGCAAGCCATACAGAACTTACAACACGGACTTCATGAGAGAAACACATACTAGGGACTGACATAGCACTGCTGGCAGGTGCACACAGCTTTCCCGAATTTTGATATGGCGTATTGCTAAGTATAACATAATTTACAGCGCATACCCTACAGCTTCCCCCAAGGTTGAGTCTCCCCTCATTTCCTCTCCTTTTTATTGGCTTCAGTGCGCTGTTGCCCATGGCAACACCCACCGGCAGGGATGGGGATTCAGCACCACCGCAACCTGACATACAGCTGAAGCTCTAACAATGTCAACCATCAATCAAGTGACTGTTTGTAATTGCCTCCATCTATTTCTCCTGTCTTTCGGTATCTTTGCTATTGTGGGTCAAAATTCAGAAACTGCTGACTAATGTTATGGTTCTGTTCCTCCATCACAAGGAAGAAAATGAGAGAGCACGGCTAGATCTTTATCAAATTGTTCTCAGGCAAAAGGAAGCAACCCTACTGAAACCAGGGGCGCACAGTTGTGCATCTCAGAACAGCATTGGGTCTCTGAAAGTGATACAGCTCAATCTTAATAAAACCCAAACAAACAAACAGAAAAAAATAATGCTTTTGTTGTTGTTGTTGTTTTAAACTTAGCTTAGGAATCAGCAAAAGACTTCCATTTATGAGAGAAAAAGAAGATTCTTTGTGGAAGCATGCAGTACAGTAAAGAAACATATTCCAAGTTTCTCATACTTTTAAGATGGTGGAAAACACTTTTTAACTAGTGCTTACAAGCTTGATAGATAGAAATTGTATCTCCTTTTCATTATTCCTGATAGGGAAACATTTTTCCAGTACTTCAGTCGGTTTTGCCAAACTCTTCCGAGATGTGCATAGGAGAGATGACAGTGTAGGTTATTAAATTGGCATTCTCCGTCTTCTACTTGCTTCCCTGCCCACTCCACAAGGGGAGATCAAAACCCATTGAAACCAGCTTAGTTCTGCGAGTGCGTATAAAACAGGGGTCCACAAGAGGCGAGCGCAAATTAGAGGGTGTGTAGAAAAGAGAATGGAGAACTCACTGTTACCGAGGTCAGTGCTCGTAAAGTACTGCTTGGCCTTTCCCTGGAGATGCCCAACACGTCTGGTCTGTCTCAGCAACAGACAAGTCATCGCTTATTTGCCCCAGCTGTTAGTGGAAGTTTAGCCCTAGCATTTACAATTCCAATGCTAAAACATGGTGAGTACGTGGACCATTCTTAGGGTCACAGGGGCTTCATTCTCCGCCGAAGATGCTTCAAGCTGGTTGTTCAACAGCAATGCCTTTTTTCTGTGTGTCCAACCGACTAGTGCTAACTACTAGTGCTAACTGCAGCCTGAATTCGGTCAGGTTTCTTGTCTCATGAATTACAGGCCATGAGGTCTCACAGAAGCTGGCTGGCAGCCCTCATTTTATCAGCAGAAAATGCTCAGGAGACGACATGGATCTTCATCCCCATCCTCAAAGATAGTTCAGGCCACACAGTAATTCCACTCAGGATTCCTGTGAGACCACTGACCAAAATCAATCTTTCCTCACTAAAAAAAAAGACAAAAGCCTAAATGCCCTAGCATTGCAAAGGTTAATCAGAAAGCAGCCTGAACTTCAAATCGTACTTGATTTGGGCAGGCTTTCAACCTGCGGGTGCACCTTCTCCACCTGCCTTTAAGGAGTCACAAGGGTGGGCTTGTCCCCTGTCCTCCTGCCAAAGCCCCTTACATGTGTTTAGAAATCAGAAAGGACACCCGCTGGGTACACCCCCAATTTCTGCTGCACTCCTGGGAGATGCACAGAGCAGGCAGGCTTTGGTGGAAGAGCTCAGGAGGGGCTTGTCTGTATGTCCTCCTGGATTAAAGCCCTCCCCTGCAACATGACACTGTGACCCCACCAGAAAACCAAACACTGTTCAAGGCGCGGAGCACCTGGGGCAGAGGCTCTCCTGTGGTTCAAACAGAAGGGTTTCCCATCTCCTGAAAACGAGACGTCCAAGAGGTGTCTTTGACCATAGTTAGAGTAGTAAAATCAGACCATTTCCCCTAAAAGTGCCCTATCATTTTGCCTTTCTCCCCACCTGTGACCAACAAGCAAAACCAAACAGCTTCAACAAAACATGACCGAGCTTAGACATCTGCTTCTGTCAGGATGCTGTTTTTGCTCCTGCTCCAAAGCAGAGTCACACTTAGAAGGTCAGGCAGCAGTAGCTCACGGAAGGTTAAACTGGATGCCTCATGTGGCAACTGGACACTGAAGTCCCCATACAACCCTGTCACAGCCAGCCCCTCCTATTTGCAGGGCCAGGGAATCTTGCTGAGAAGGTCATGAGTATGTTTAGTGCCCTGCAGAAAAATGTCATAGAGTAGAGGAGTATGTTTCATTTTAGCTCAGGTATTCCTTCAGATGGTGCCCTGGTACAGCAGCTGCATTTTTCTGGACTGGTGACCTTGCTAATTGTTCCTTCTTATAGTGCACTGCGATCTCAGACGTGCCTGTAGTTATTAACGAAGCCAATATTAGTACTCACAAACTATTTTTGAAAACTGCAACCAGCAGTGCCTAACATCATTTGTAATATTTAGACAAATTCACACTAGTGGAAAAATAGGAGTGTTTCAGTCTACAAGCCAAACACTTACTTACTTATTTTCCCTTCATAAAATTAAAACAATTTTAGTTCTTGATAGACCATTTATGCATTGAGTGAAATTTCAGAACAGGTTTATTTCAAGGTTTTGTAAAACATACTAGCAGACACTTCCAATGCTTAGAGCGTTCTGGGCGAGAAAATACAGAGCAAGTAATTTTTTAAATTGGCTTTGTCAAATAAACAGAAGATTTTGAAGAGTAAAATCACTTGAATGATTTCTAACATAACAATGAAATGGGAGGTATAAATTGGCTGCGAAATCCCAGAGATTTCCATCACTTGAATGTGCCAGTATTGGAACACATACTGTATATTGCTTGTTACCTTTTCTTTCTTGGATTACTTTGTATTTAATTACCAATTTATAAGCATGTTGGACACTGCATCTTACAGTTGTGTGGGGAATACCATTATCAGCTTTGAACCTTTGCCTGTGGGAAACAACTGACACATGCACAGAAATACTCTTAACGCAAGTGAATCCTACATACTTTCCAAATGTGTAACTTAAGACTTCTGCATCCTTTTCCTTTTTGCATTTTAAGACCACTACCCTCACTGTTTTGCTTTAGTAGATCAAACAATGCTGATTCAGCTTTTTAAAGCATGTTTTTGAAATTAACAACTTGGTTTTACTGGTCTCTCTAAAAAAAAATAAAAAGTAATTTTAATGGTTTGCCGGGATTTTTATTTTTCTTTGCACCTACATCATCGGGATGAATCAGAGGTTTATCTGTTGGTGCCTGAATCACGTAAACAGAAGAGCAGTGAAAACACAGGCAACTGAGCAGCTCAGAGTAGTTTCTGAAACGCGACCTTGCAGCACACGTGCCTGGGAGCAAACTTAACTTCACTGGATACACTTGGCATCAGTCTGGAATGACCAAAAACCAAATCTGGCTGGTGACTCTAACAGAGCTATTTATTTATGGGTACAGAAATGCCATAAATTATACAGTCTGTGAAACTGGACATATCATCGTTCAGTAGAAATACCATAGCAGGAAGGAGAAGGAGGAATAGCCCTCCAAAGAACGATTACGTTGTTGAAATAGTCCAGAAAAGTTGGAAATCATTTCTTCTACTTTTTTTAAACCTGCAGGGAAGCTGGCAGATTGCAGTAAGGTACAGATCTCCTTCCTTCCATCAGCCGCAACAAACTTTGGATCTTGACAGGATGTAAAGGGGATATTTCACGTTCAAAAAGCCCAAGGCAGCACTAACATACTTATTGGTCCGTGTTCCAGGGCTGCGGCTTTAGCTTAGGGCCTGCTTTTACACTACCACTTACTGCTCAAGAGAACCACTGCACAATAATAGAAACAAAGGAGTTGATGTTGATCTTACAGAGCACACGTTCAGGCCCAGGCAGCGTTTTCAGGACGCGCGCCCTTTTTGAGCCCTTTTGTAGCCGTCGCTGACCAGCCCGTGTCACGACCCGGGAGATAACAGCGCGAACGGCACCAGAAAACGGCGGGCAGACAGCGGGGATGCGGCCGCTTTCCCGGGCAGCGCGGCAGCGGGACACACCGGGACC